AAGCGCCTCGATGACCTTGCTCTTCAGGTCCAGGATCGAGGGCTCCTGGTCACTCTTGAAGATGAAGTGCTCCACCCCCGTGTACTCGATGGCCTCCGCCACCCACTTGATAATCCAGGCATCCTTCGTGCTCTTACTCGTCGCGGCGATCGACGCCGTCCATCGCCCCTTGTGCTCACGCATCACCAGCGTGGGCTCTGCTCGCTCGTCGTCTCCACCGAAGAACGTGTAGTCAATGGAGATCGTGTTGACTAGATGCTCTCGCTCAGCGTCCAGTCGTCGGTGGTCAGCATTGCGGCCGCGTCCTCCCACGCAGTCTCCGCACCATGCCCTGAACTGCACGTGCCCTGCCGCCTCGTGCATCTCCCGCTCGACCGTCGTCGGCTCGAACAACCGCGGCACCACCGTGACCGGTGGGTCGCCCATGTCGTCGTCCTCCTCGTCCCCCAGCGTGGGCTCCGCGGGTTCCGCCGCCGCCGGCGCTGCCGCTGAGCTTCCGCCTTCTCGCCGAGGAGGGTCCTCGGTGTTCGGTCTTACGGCTGAGCCCGCCGACTGTCCCCCGACATCGCGCTGATGTCTGGGGCGTTCCTCTCCTGGCCACTGACCCTCTTCAGCTTGAGGGTGTAGACTCCACGTCGGAGGTGGATCAGCAGCCTCCTGCCGGTCGCGAGGTGCTTCAGGTAGCACTCCTTCGGCCCAATGTAAACCTCGCGGCCCTTCTCCAGCAGCTTCGACACCGCCGGCAGCATGCGGTGCACTCCTGTCGACGTGCACCTGAGTCGCCTTGTGCTGCCGTCCTCCGTCATGACCTCGATGACCTTCTCGCCTTCGTCCCGCACCGACTGGCCGTTGGCTGCTCGGTAACTCGTGCCCATCTCGCTGGACACTGTCGGCCTCGCCCGCACGTCCGTGAACCAGGTGTTCGGGGCAACGCTCTCCGCCGCCCCGGAATCCACTGCCGCGTAGAAGTATTCTTCCGTCGCATCGTCCACCGCATTCAGCTCTGGGGTGCACAGGTCCAGTCCGCCGAGGTTGCCAGGCTGCTCGGTCTCCGGTTCCTGCTTGTCGTTCGCCTCCAGGCTGTTGGCGCCACGTTGTCCTGTTTGCTGTCCACGATTCGCGGGGCAGTCCTGCCGCTTGTGTCCCCAGCCCCAGCACTGTGAGCAGTAGCCTTGGACTTGCTGTTGTTGCTGGTGCTGGCCTTGCTGTCCACCTGGTCGCTGCCGAGGCGGGTAGGGCGAAGACGGCTTGCCTTTGGTCTTCTCCTTGCCTTTGCTCTTGCCCTTGCCGCCCTTGCTGCCGCCCTTGCCCTTGCCCTTCGGGTTATGGGTGCTCTTGTGTGCACCTCCGCCTGGCATCCAGCCGTCGACCTTCTTGTGGCCTTTCTTGCCGCAGCTGTTGCAGGTGATGTCCTTCTGGTTGAGGCTGCCGACGTCCATGGGGGTCGCGTGGTCGTTCACCTTCGACTCCAAGTAGCTCTGGATCTCCTCGCGCACACTCACGTACGTCTTGAGCTTGTTCGCGTTGAGCACCAGGTGGTCCTTGAGCACGCCCATTGTCATGCTCACGAACACCTGCGCTTTGATGCCCTCCTGCATCGCATGGCCGGCCCGCCTCTCGTAGACGCGGACCCGCTCTTCCCACTTGGCTCCCAGTTGAATTAGCGAGTCCAGGATATTGCGCTTCCTGCCAGCTCCTTGTGGGTCGAACCTCCTCGCTATCACACGCCAAGCTTCGAACCCGTCGTTGTTTTTCGTCGCCTGCACTAGATCCAGAGCCTCGCCATCGCAGAGCTGAGCCAACACCGTGTACAGCTGCCGGCCGATGGTCTTGATGTCCGTGTCCTCGTGCTCTAAGGTGAAGATCTCCCCGATATCGTCTAAGTTCTCTCTCGTGAGCGGCTCTTCCTGATCTTGGACGTAGTTCAGGGCCTCCTTGATACCCGTCGTCACACTCTCCAGGACATTGGTCAGCTTGAAAGCCCAGCCGCCCCACGCCTTCGTGTCGCTGTTGAAGGCCGTCGGCTTGCCAATGCCCTTGACGTCTACCAACTGCACCTTCTTCTTGGTCGTTTCCTTCTCCAGGATGATCGTCTGCTGCAGCTTGGTCATTGCCTCGAGGTCCTGCACTCGTTGGGCCTGGACTGTGTTCATCAGGTCCCTCTGCCTCGTCAACTCTGTCGTGAGTTCTCGCACTTGTGCTGTCAACTGCTGCAGCTGCTCTTCTGGCGTGCTCATTACCTCGACGGTGTAAGACACAGTCGAAGCCTCTCACGCAGCTCCTTGGCACATACCCTCTGAAGTAGTTGCCCAACGTGGCCCCAGTAACGCTGAAGCCGTCTGATTCTCCAGAGCTGCTCGCAAACTCTCCACCACTGTTCGTGCGCAGACCAGTCACGCCTGCTGCGCCGAACCACACGCCAATCAGCTTTCTCAGAAAACTCGTCGTCGCTATCGGGGCGCCCCGCGCCCGAGGATGTGGAAAGGTTGCCGCTGGATCGCAGTGAACCAGCTCCTGCTACCATGACTAGATGGTTTTGAACCAACACGACTATGGAGCGAACCCGCCCCTCACAATTCCTCACAATTCCTTACCAAGGGTTATGAAGAATGCACTGCTACACGGCTCCGTGCGCGCAGTTGTTTCGCAGCGTTGTCCGGGATGCTCCTCGGTGGTCCCCACCGAGGGGGGACAAACAAAAACACACACGCCCGAGCGATGCCAAGTCTGAGGCCGGGCATGTCCCCCCACAGCCGGATTTTGGACGGACCATCAAACATACATACTCAACAAAGACTCAAACATAGCCTCCTCTTTTTCTGAGGCCAGATGCCTGCGAGCCCTGGCAGGCGTGCCCCCCCCGAGGAGGCTTCCTCTTCTCGAGGAGGCCGCACCCTCCCCGACCCAGGCTTTGCCCCCTCGGGATCTCCAGCCGACAGTCGCACCAACGGGTCCGGATGCATGCGAGCCTTGGCAGGCGAGGCCTCCTCCGAGGCCTCCTCTTCTTGAGGAGGCCGAAACGGTGTCTTCCGTTTTCGTTTTGTTTTTCGTTTTCCCCCGCTTTTGTCTCGAATCCGCCTTTACCGCAGAACGAAGTCGAAACGAAAACGGCCCACGAGATCACCCAAAGCACCGTTCAGGTCCAGCCCCCTCGGAGGAGGCCTCCTCTTCTCTGAGGAGGCCTTCCCTCCCCGACCCAGGCTTTGCCCCCCACGGGACTTCCAGTCGGCAGCCGCGTCAACGGGTCCTGATGCCTGCGAGCCCTGGCATGAGGTCGGGCATGCCCTCCCACAGGCGGAGTTTGGAAGAAACATGAAAAGTAGGCAAACAATGCTACCAAGTAGTCAAACATAGCAGAAAAATCGTCCCCTGACTATTTTTGGACAATTTTGGGGTATTCCTCCTGTAGAGGGACGCGCCCGACTAACCCTGGCACGCACGCACACTGATTCATGAGTTCGTTATCATCCATCTTGTTTCCGCCTTCCCTCTGCCGTTGCTGCTGCTGCTGCTCTCCCTCCCTGTCTCGCTTTCTCCTCCTTCTCCTCCTCTTCCGCCCACGCGCCAGACGGCGCATGGCTTGAGTGCGAGTGCGAGGATTTCCAGGGCGCCCCCCCCCCCTCGCCAGAGCAGAGCGCTGCGCGTCGAGGGTGTGTCTGCGGCGAGCGACCGGGGCAGCCCAGGATTTCCAGGGCGCCCCCGCCCCTCGCCAGAGCAGGGTGCTGCGTCGAGGGTGTGTCGGCGGCGATGGGGGCAAATGAGAAGGAGAAGGCCTTCTCGGAAGGCGACGAGACTTCTAAGCAGCCCTCGCGCCTTCTGACAACAAATATGTTTCTTCGGGGAGGGCTTAGACCAATTCTCAGGAGGCCAGGGGACTTCCGATCCTTCTGAGAAAGCATTCTCCTCCTCACCTCGCCGCCAAGTGTGGGAAGCAAGGCGGGTACGCGGCCACGAGTCCGAACGCCGAGCGGTTGAGCCTGAACCAGGACGAATGTGGAACAGATTCTCGAAAGGAGGAGGGGGGGAGGTGACGATCAAGAGATCTCTCCGACACCAGACAGCCGGCAGATGGCAACAACCAAGGACAGAAACTGGCCCCTCTGACACAAACATCGCCATTTCTCTCTGGGGACGCTGGGGGCTTCATCCGGCCAGCACTCCTCTCCACTTTTGGACAGAACCTCTCAACGCTGAGTTTTGCCAGAGGCCTCCTTGCCCGCTAGGGTGGGGTGGCCTGGAGCAGAAAAGGGGGGTCGCGGGCGAAGGCATGGGCTGCTTCACCACAGCACCAGGATGGCTGAAGGGGGCCCGAACGAAGCCCCGAGAGGGCCCCAGAGGTTCACAGAGACACTCCAAGAGGTCCTCGAGCGACTACATATTGACTTCCAATGCGGAGTGTACGCAAAATGCCCCCCACCTCCTGTTGGTCGCACGGCAGGGTACGACAAATTGATATTAGCGTAGCCACATCACCTCGAGAAAGTCTGCTTTAGACAAGCGTGTCCTCTACTCGCACAGTAACTACTCGCAAATGGCCCGGATCCGCCGCGGGGGATCTACGATTCACTACATCGAGGCGAACCTCAGTTTTTTCGGACGTCACTTTGGGGGTAGTGGGACGCGCTCGGTGATACTTGGGTTGATCCATCCTCTGCCGACTGGTGTCAGCCCGGCTTGCTCCTGCCTGCTCCCGCACTTCCTCTGTCATGGAAACTCGCCTGGACTTTTTGGGGGGATGGGCTGGCGGGGATAGGCGACGCGTCAGGACTCTGCGTGGCCCCCTCCTCCTCCTCCTCCTCCTCCTCCCCTCCTCCTCCTCCTCCTCCTCCTCCTCCTCCTCCTCCTCCTCCTCCTCCCTCCTCCTCCTCCCCCCCTCTCCCTCCTCCCCCTCCTCCCCCTCCTCCCCCTCCTCCCCCTCCTCCCCCCCCCTCCCCCTCCTCCCCCGCCTCCCTCTCCCCTTCCCCCACCCCCTCCTCCCCCGTCCCTCGGCTCGGCGGGGCCTCCAGTTTGGAGGAGCGTCGCAATGGTCCTGCACCGTGGCGGCGGGTCAGGGCAAGCGAAAGGAGACCAGGCTGAGGGGGCCCAGGGACACACTAATAAATACACACAAGCCCGAGAATTCCCCATATATTTGTCATATGTTTTGGAGTTTGGTCTTCCCCTCCACTTCCCATATTTTCGCCTGACAGGCGTACAGCACAGCGCAGCCCGAAGGAAGAGGCTTGCAAGCGAACACCGCACGGGCCGCCCCATAGGTATCCAAATGCCTCCTAGGACTACCATAGAAGAAAAACACACGCCACAAAGAGAAACTTTTGGCGCTCCGCGCGGATTTCTCGGATCCGCGCTGGGCCCCCTCCCTGGCGCGCGGAGCGCGCCAAGGGCGGCGCCGTCCAGGGGCGGCGCTGGAGGCGACGCCCGGGGGGTGCCCCAGCGCGGGTCCAAGAGATCCGCGCAGAGCGCCAAACGTTTATGTTTATGCCGTTTTTGCTTTTTCGATCTTAGGACTACCAGCACCGCGATGCGCCCAGTGGGTTCCAAGGGGCCTCATGGCGCTCAAGGCGCTCCATCTTATGTTGGAGCCTGTTGGGCGATCCATTGACCCTATTGCGCCCATCCTCCGGTGGAACCTACTGCGATACCGATCGTATTGGGACGCGCAACGCTGGCAGATCCGCAAACTCGGACGTTGAGGCGCGATGGAACTCACAGAGTACATCACAAGATGATGCGGCGTGCACGAGCTCTCTCTCCCGAAGCTCCTTGGTCTGCCCGACGTATACCTGGGGCTCCTCAAAACACTGCGAGACTTGCAAGACGATCCGTGAATGTCACCGAGGCCGCCAATCTGGTCCAACATTGCCTCCAAGATGCCCCAAAGAGAGCCTCCAAGAAACGCCCAGAGGGCTCAGGAGGTCAACATGATTACTGCTCAAGACTTAAGATGACTTAAAATGCTCCTCGTTGGTCCTCGTCGAGGAAAAACTACGCACGTCCGAGTGATCGGACGACTTAAGATGCGCGTGTTTCGGATGACTTAAGATGCTCCTCGCAGGCGCTCGTCGAGGAAAAAATACACACGTCCGAGTGATGCCAAACTCTGTCGACTTTGACGATCCGTGGGGTATCCCTCCCGGCCCAGTCGAAAAACAACAATACCCGCTCGCCCTTGGCTGGCCCCCGACAACGACGATGAGAATACTGCTGCCGCAACGCACCGCCATAAGCAGGGCCACACGTCAGATCCGACATGCAGCCCCTCCCCATCAGGAGCCATCTGTTTGATCTCAACGCTTTCACCTCCAATGATCTCATACCAGCAGTGAGGGACCTGCAGGTGTCTGAAAAGCTGATGGTGGGAAACGCCTCGGACAGAAGCACGGGCGATTCGCAGTCACGTCGCACCGAGCCACAGCACACTGGCGGTCACGGCGCGGAAGATGATAAAACAAAAACATCCGTTTGCCCCCGGAAGGCACGAGGCGACGGCGCCCCAGGAGGACATGCCCACTGCGAGGACCCCGCCCCAGGCTCCAACGGCCTGGGAGAGGCCCGGCGCATGGCCGGCGAGGGAGGGCTCGCGGACTGCCCCCCCCCCCCCTTGTGGGCCAGCACCGTCGCCCCCAACCCGGTGGGCTGGGGCCAGCGTGGGGGCACGCAGAGTCCCCACGGCGCAGCACATCCTGCCACCAGGCCCAGCCCCCGCCCCACCAAGGGAACGGCAACTCCGGGCAGTACACCCTGCGAAATGCTTAAGAAATCATGGGTTAAGAAATTCATAGTCTCAGAACTTGAATGAAAACCCAACATGTCCATTGAAATCTTAAGATTTACATTGAAACGTCAAGAATAATCGAGACCCTGGCCGAAAACTTAAGTTTTCTTCAGCATCGCCTAAGGTGTAGTGCCACCCACCAGGGTACAGGTGCCCGGCCGGCACCAGTGCAGCCCACCGATGGGAGACTTGCCCTCACGCAGCGCCTCACGCGGCTGGGCAACCACTGATCCAAGAACGTGATTCTGCTTCATCCACAGACATCACGGCGCTGCAACAGCGCGCTTCCAGCCTCGCACAGACGCTGCGTAGCATCTGGGGACACTCAAACAATCAAAACACCTGCTTGACGAACTCCAGACAACACAATCCGCCTAAGACGACTCCCAACAGGCTCTACGCAAGCCTACCTCTTCCTGGGGCCGCCCCCGAAATGACTATCTCCAGGCGCCACTTGCTGCTCACCGCTCACGCACCAACGCTCGCTCTTTCTCTCTCTCTCTCTGTTTCGCGCGCTGCGAGGACGTCTGGCAAGCTGCTTCGCAGACCAGGCTCTGGGCCGCCGAAGAGCCTTCTCCCCCAAGGGCATCCAAGTGCGCACGCCAGAGCGCGCTAAAAGCCGGTGCCTCCCTGCAGCACGGGCGCGCATAAGAGACGTGCCACGCCCTCATCGCCATTGGGTTTGTCTGGGGGCCAGCGAAAGGGGTCGTCTGTAGGAACGGCCACAAAAGGGTGCGCGGCTAAAACGGAAATCCGTTTTCGTGTGTGCGGATTTTTGGGGGTCAACTTGTTCTGTCTGATTATGTTTGGGTCAAGCTGTGGCTCCAGATTCTCAACTTTTGGTATGCACTTGAAAGCGTCGTTTGCTTGTTTCACATTCTTGCATCTACGTCGGTCTGCGGGGAAAACTTGAAGGTCGTGGCGATTGGGCGTGGCTTCATGAGGGGGTCACAAATGGGGGGGTCAGAAACGGTCCCCTTTCGTGCCCCTTTCGGGCCCCTCCAGAGCCCCAGGGGGGCTCGTTTAGGTACCGTTTGGGTACCTTTTCGGACCACCCGCGACACCCCCCCATTTATGACCCCTCCATTACGCAACGCCCAAGGCGATGATCGCCACGACCTTCCGGTCTTTCCCTGTCCATGGGGTGCCTCGCTTCGCGCTCCGCGCTGCGCGAGGCGCAAAGACATTCGCGCCCTTGCGCCGCCCCCCCGGGGGAGAAGAGGAGGAGGAGGAGGAGGAGGAGGAGGAGGAGGAGAAGGATCACACGGGGGGGGGAGAGGAGGAGGAGGAGGAGGAGGAGGAGGAGGAGGAGGAGGAGGAGGAGGTGGTGGAGAAGGAGAAGGAGGAGGAGGAAGAGGAAGAATCGGAGCCGGACCGCGAAGCGCGTATGACTTCGCGCCCTCGAGGGTGCCCTTGGCCACGCCCCTCTATTTTTAGGTCGGGCATGGCCCCTTACAGGCGGATTTCGGAAGACAGAGTTTCAAAAAGTCATACATAATAAACATTTGCAAACATGGTAAAAAGTCGTCCCCTGACTATTTTGTGAATATTCCCCCTGTAGAGGGACATGCCCGACTTTACTCGACTTGTTCCTGACAAGGTCCCTTTTTGGCCGCGCCACTCCCGTCGTTCCAGCGGCGCCTCCGGCCATCGGCGCACAGGCCATGTGGGAGCCGGTATCCCGCGCGCCTGGACGGACTCCTGTCCGAACTGGTGCGCGCTCTCTCTCTCTCTCTCTATATATATTTATCCCTCTCTTTCTTTTTCCTCGCTCTCTCTCTCTCTCTCCCCCTCCCTCCCTCCCTCCCTCCCTCCCCCTTCCCCTCTTGCTCCAACTCCCTCGTCGATGTGTCATCTGTCCCCCGCAGGCAGCGAGCAAAGGAACTTGCCAAGGTCCTCCGTGAGAAGCTTGAATTCGTTCTCGCGCCGTATGTGGAGCACCTTGGACAGGCACTGGTCAATGAACATGTCCTTGGATTGATTGGGGCACGGGCTACTTCCTCCCCACTATCTTCGGGGGCGCGCAAACATGGATTAGCGATCCATGGATTTGGCACGCGGTCGCCAAATCCATGGATCGGGGGAGCTGCCCTCCCAACATGCGGCTGGTGCCGCTTCGCTCGGCGGCAGAAATCCGCTACTTCCAATGGAAACGAGACCCGTCGCTAATCCACGCCCACTTGATTCATGCTTGCGATCGCCTGATTTTGGGGCCCCAGAGCCGCGCGGCGACGGACCGCGCGGTAACCTCAGAATCCTCAACGACCTCACCGCGCGGTCCGTCACCGCACGGTCTTGTGACCTCGGAGGCCCCTGTCGCCCGAGACGCCCCCTGAGAACGACCCGAGTCCGAAAACAGTGCGGTGCCCCCGAATCCCCACTGACCCACCACGCGGTGTGGACACCACACCGTTTGGGGCCCCCCGACTGTCAACGACGCACGGCCTGCTGTAGTGTGGAGGCCAGTCCACAAGGAACCTTCCACAAGAAACCCAACCCTGAGACCCCAGGACGCCCATCGATTTTTGGTTTGGGAGCCTCACGCTTCCCATATCAAACCATCGAAACCCAAGAAACCCAGGGCATCCTGGAGGCAAGCAGGGTGTTTCTTGGCTTGGGTCTCCACTGTAGGTATCCAGATGCCTTGTATGACTACCATAGAAGAATGAAAACGCCATAAACATAAACTTTTGACGCTCCGCGCGGATTTCTCAGATCCGCGCTGGACCCCCTCCCTGGCGCGCGGAGCGCGCCAGGCGCGGCGCTGGAAGCGCCGCTGGGGGGTGCCCCAGCGCGGATGCAAGAGAGCTGCGCGGAGCGCCAAAAGTTTATGTTTATGTTTATGTTTAATGGTGGTCGCGCGGGGTACGTTGGCATGCTGCGGGCAACGATTCTACAGCAGTATTCGCCGCAGCGCTGCCGAATACCCGTTTGTGGGCCGCGCAATGGCGGGTGTGGCCTCTGACCGTGCGGCCGCGGGACCCTGGGCTGTGTGTGCTGGGCTACCCTGTGGCTTACAAGTGCGGCTGGTACTGCCGCAGCCTGCACGGTTTCCCCCCGGGGCCGTAGGCGACCCGAGGAGGAGAAGGCAAAAGAGGAGGAGGAGGAGGCGGAGGAGGAGGAGGAGGAGGAGGAGGACGGGTCGCTTAAGCACTTCGGAGAAACCCTCCACTGCAGCCAGGATCGAGCCCGCCCCTTTCCTGTTCCTTTCCCTTTCATTGATCCGCGACCGTGACTCAAAGTTCTTGCAGTGGAGGCCAGGCCACAAGAAACCTTCCACAAGAAACCCCAACCCTGAGACCCCAGGACGCCCATCGATTTCTGGTGTGGGAGCGTCACGCTTCCCATGTCAAAACCATCGAAACCCAAGAAACCCAGGGCATCCTGGAGGCAAGCAAGGTGTTTCTTGGCATGGGCCCCCACTGTAATGGTTGTCGCGCGGGGTACGTTGGCATGCTGCGGGCATCGATTCTTCAACATTCGCCGCAATTCTGTCGAACCGGGTTGCGGGCCGCGCAAATGGCGGGTGTGGCCCCTGACAGTGCGGCCGCGGGGCCCTGGGCTGTGCGTGCTGGGCTAACCTGTGGTTTACAAGTGCGGCTGGTACTGCCGCAGCCAGGATCGAGCCCGTGAGTGGACATGCGGGAATCCCGAGCGAGCATCCCCTCTGCCCATGAACCCCTTCCGCCCTCTTTCCTCGCCGCTCCTCCTCCCTTCTCCTCCTCCTCCTCCTCCTCCTCCTCCTCCTCCTCCCTCCTCCTCCCTCCTCCCTCCTCCCCCTCCTCCCCCTCCTCCCTCCTCCCCCCTCCTCTCCCTCCTCCCTCCTCCCTCCTCCTCCCTCCTCCTCCTCCCTCCCTCCTCCTCCTCCTCCTCCTCCTCCCTCCTCCTCCTCCTCCTCCTCCTCCTCCTCTCCTCCTCCTCCTCCTCCTCCTCCCTCCTCCCGCCCCTCCTCCTCATCTTCCTCCCCCTCCTCCTCTCCTCCTCCTCCTCCTCCGTCTCCGTCCTCCGTCCTCCTCCTCCTCCTCCTCCTCCTCCTCCTCCTCCTCTCCTCCTCCTCCTCCCCCCCTTCCCCCTCCTCCTCCTCCTCCTCCTCCTCCTCCTCCTCCTCCTCCTCCTCCTCCCATTTTGGCTCAAGCGATCGCACGGCCGTCGCCCGCCGCCCGCGCGGCATGGCGGCGCCAAGAGGGGCTTGGGCGGCCCGCGACATCGCGCTCCTGGTGGAGGCCGCGGTGCGCGGGGCCGCCGAGGCGCGCGCCCCGAGGCGGACGGTGGCGGCAGTCGCCCGCTCGGCCATTTCGGCTGCGCTCTTCCGAGCGGGCCGCGTGGCGGAGGCGGCGGAGGCTGCTGGGGACGACTCGGAGGTGCGCGACGTGGAACCGGAGCGGCCGCCCTCGGCCGCCAAAGCGGCGCGCAGGCGCCGCCGTCGCCAGCGCCTTTCGGCGCGGCGGGCGGCGGAGCGCAGCGCGGCGGCTGCGGCGGCGGCGGGCGGAGGCGCTGGGGGCCCAGCTGCTCCTCCGGGGGCCGGTGCGCCGGTGGTTGCTGGTTCGGGGCCTGCGGGGCCCGCGGTCGGCGACGTGGCGGACTCGGACATGGATGACAGCTGGGCGGACGGGCTGCGGCGGGGGGCGGAGCCGGCTCGTGAAGCCGGCGGAGCTCCTGCGGCGGCCGCGGGCGCTGCGCGGCGCGTGGCCCCTCGCCTCGAGTCGGGCGGCTCGGCGGGGTCGCGCGCCTCTGCTGGGGAGGCTGCAGGGCTGGAGCTGGCGGCGGCGACGCCGCAGGCTGAGGCCCCTTCCGACCCCTTCTCGGCCGAGGAGCTGGCCTTGATGGCGAAGGCCGTGGACTGCGGCATGGCGCCGCCCTCGGTGGTGGCCGCGGTGGCGGCGGCACGCGGTGCTCCTCGGCACGCCCCTCAAGGACGCGGACTCGGTCGGGGAGGGCAGCGGCCTCCCCGTTGTACATAGCCGCTATAGGCCACTTCCGTCGCCTGCGTCGTGGTGCACTGTAGCGGTTCTGTTCTGAGTTTGGGCCTTTCCCCCCGCTGTAGAGGTCCAGACGTATGAATGTAGCGGAGCTGGGCGTGGAGCTCAAAAAAAAAAAATTCTCTTCTTCTTCCTCCTCCTCCTCCTCCTCCTCTCAAGCAACTTGGGCTCGAGCATGTTGCTGGAGTCCATCCCTCTGGGCTTCCGCGCAGCGCTTGGGGGATTAGACTTCGGTGCATGCCAGCGCACTGTTGTCTCAACTAACACAGAGGGTTAGTACAAAATTCGCTGCAGCCATGACGGGTACCACGCAGCAGCAGCTCTGGCCCAGGTGCCCAGGATGCAAGCGTTGTGAGTGGAACAGCATCTTGGCAGGCAATGGCTGTTATTGCCAGCACTGCAACAAACCCGTGACGTTGTTCATGGGCATGAAGAAGGTGCAGTTCAGTGACGACACATTCTATGATTGTGATGACGGCATGGGAGGTGGTGGTCAGCTGCAGGCGCTTCTCCCGCCAGGCATCCTCAACGGCCGACGAGGTGCGCCGCCTGGCAGGGGCAAGGGCGGTCGATGGGGCCCCGCCCAGCGCAGCCCAGCTCCTCCAGCAGGCGGCGGCGGCCACGGGCCACCAGCAGGTGCAGCAGGCGTTGCAGGCGCAGATCGCGCTCCTGGAGCAGGAGGCCGCGGCGGGCGCCAAGGCTCAGGAGAGCAAAGCCGGCGCCATACGGCGTGCGGAGGGCGCTTGGCGCAACGCCGAGCACCTCCACCAGCAGGCGGTGCAGAGCGTCCTTCGCCTCCGCGGCAATCTGGCAGCGGCGGAGGGGAAGGAGCAGCAGGCCGCCCTGGCGCTTGCGCAGGCAAAAGAGGCCAAGCGCAGCGCTGCGGTGGCTCACGCGCAGGCGGCAGGTATCCAACCTCCGCCATCGCAGGGTGGCCCACTGTTCCAGGTGCAGTGGGGCGACAAGTTTTTCGACACGATCGACGAGCTGGAGCCGTCCGAGGGCGAGAAGACGGCCCTGCAGGCGCTCCAGAAGCAGTTGCAGGGCGTGAAGACGCAAATGAAGGAGAAGGACGCCGAGGTGCAGAAGTGGCTGCAGCAGCTCCAGGAGCAGCAGGCGGCGCTGACGGAGCGCATGGCCAAGAAGCGGCGCAGCACCAGCGACGGTGCCGCACCAGGCGGCGGCGGCGGCCCCCTCCACGCAGGAGGGGCAGGCGGCTGGCGGCGGGGGTGGGGCATCGGCGGGCTCAGACACGGCGGCGGCTGCAGCGGCTTCTGAGGATCAGAAGAAGGACGAGGAGCATCAGGCCAAGATGAAGGAGGCTGCCGAGCGCATTTCACGTGCGAAGTTCGAGGCGGAGCAGCTCAAAGCGAAGTCCAAGGGGAGGGGCGACGCCGCGAGTGGTGCTGCAGCTTGACTAGATGTAGCAGGTTCGCCTTCTCCCGCACAAGAGAAGGCAGGGGGGTCTGACCATGATATTGCCAGGTTATTCTATGCGAATATCACTATGCTGTCAGACAAGTCGTGGAAGTACATCAGTGCTCGAGCTGGTCAATATGAATTTTGGGGCCTCGTCGAGACTCACGTTCACAAAGAGTCGGAGATACGAGATTGGTCAGCTAAAGCTCGTGCGTGCAAACTGAGACTGCACCGCAACGCGGCTCGACCTACGAACAAAGTTGTGGCTGCAAAGGCTGAGGGGCGCTCCAACGAACGGGGCGAAATCATGCTGGCGCAGCGACATTTACAGATGCATGTCCTCCAGGAAGCCAAGATAGCGTCTCCTCACCTTCGAGAAGGTCGGCATAAGGCGCTCGACGGCTTCCTGCCCACTGTCATCCACATGGCTGGATATTCTTGTCAAATTATTTTGTTGTATGGTCACCCGAACATCGGCATGCGGTCCAAGAACAGCGCCCGCTTTCACCGGATCGGTGCATTAGTACAGTCAGTCAAGATGCCATGGGTGATCATCGGCGATTTCAACATGTC